GCTGTTTTAATCAGAGAGATCCGATAACTTACTTGCAGTTTTAGGAATTGATTTAGAAGTTGTCTGGACTGCTGGACTTAATTGTTGACATTTATTGGAATTCTGGCAAAGCTCCACTTAAGATATAAAGAGGTCATATAGGAAAAGAGAAAGTGGAACATCTTCAGTGATTACAGAGCTATTATGGTAATTCCTATCCTAAGCTAATTAATGAAATGGCTGATATATGAACTCAGGCAATAAATGACAAAAAAAAGATAGTGATATAATTCAACATGCTATTACTTTTTTCAATGAGATTGCAAGATAATTACATTTATGCAGCTTACTTGGATTTCTCACTAGTGTTTGCATTAATACTGCTTGGTATTGGGATTTAAAAATAGCATGTTACACAACAAATTTAAACTGACTGAAATCTAGGTGATAGATCTCTACATGTAACTATTAAAAAGAAGCTACTGAAACAAGGATAGATTTCCAAAAATTCCTAACCTAATGCTGTCCCATGTTTGTAACATTTACTTGAAGGAGGCTATAGCATCATGGCTGAAAATGATGCAGAGGGAGCAAAATGGAGAATGGTAAGCAATAGATATCATTTTCATAAACCAGCAAGATTTTTAGCAAAGCCACAGAAATTTGGCCAAACTGAGAGGGAAGTATAGTTTATGTGCAAGACCCACTAAAGTACAAGGTTTGAAACTCAGAGCTAGACAAATTCAGCCTAGTGATCAGAGAGCCTCAGGAAGCAGAGGAACTCTTTCAGACTTGAAATTCAGATTGAACTTTATAGCAAAGATATGTTTTAGTTAAATTAATATCTTATTTAACTTCATAAATTGATTATGGAGTTGTGTTGTGCAATGTGTCAACTATGGCGACCAAATCAGAATACTGGAATATGAATCATCAGAAGGAATTAAATTTATTATTCTTAGTGACCTTTATAAAGTCCCAGGATGTATATGCATCAATTTTTCCTATCTTCGCTATGAAATACTGATGTTTTCATCCTTAGCAAGGTTAACAAAAGACCATACGTTAACAACTGTGTATCAGAAGTGGTCAGTAATATTATTTACAGCTTTAAGATCCCTCAATTAACACTTACATGGTAAAAGTAAGATTTGATATGCAGAACAATGGCCAAACTGAAAATATACCTTTGCCATGAAAGCCTGTTTGTCAGTAGCTGAATAACATGTAACTGTAATACTGTATCAGCAACACAGTAAAACTTCCAACATATGTACACCTTGAGTCTAATGACTGTAGACAAGTCTAGTGTGTGTGGTTAATAAGCAAAGTGAGCTAGAGGAGTCCAATCCATTCTTAATTTGTTATTGTTCTGGCTGAGATCAGAAAAATAACTCATACCACTCAAAAAGATGTTAGAACACTCACTAATAATGCACCACTGGCAAGCTTAAGATGGTTTGATTTCTATCTACCTTTGGAATACGTGAAACAGAGGTACTTTTCAACCATGTCTACATCAGAGTTCAGAAGCTAGACATCCTGTGACTAATAGTCACCATTTACAAACAGACAGACCTTAAACTTGTATGTAGCCTTTTAGGAGCTGAATCTGAGATGGGAAAAAAACCTGAGTCCCATATGTCTGGTGGGACTTGGCCAGGGTCACTAAGAAGACTAACACAATGACAAAGGCAAGATTTGGGATGGTCATCTTCCCATTATTCTCTGGTCACCAGTCCTGAGGAATCTGAATCCAGTAACTGAGAAGCCTTTATGCATTTAGTAAGCAGTTCCTCACATCCTTTCAAAGGCAATCAAAGAATTGTGAATTAATGTTTGCTGACTTTCTGATGGATAGAACCTGTGCATCCTGGTGAGCAATGCCTTCCCTTATTTTGCCTTGCCTTCCCTTCCCTTCCCTGCCCTTTCCTGAACTTCTGTGTTCTGCCCTACCCTGAATGATTTATCCACTGCATCAGTGCAGTTATGTCATCTGAATGGACAGTATTGGTTTATATCTTCAAGCCAAAGTACTTTTTTAGGTTAAACAATTTTTTTGTATTCTCAATTTGAGACAAGATGTCACTGTAAATAATTTTGGCCTAAGTAAATCACTAAGCCATCTCACCTTAAATATTGCATCATACTGCAATTAGCAATACTAGCTCTTTAGTATAAAGTATGTTAAAGTAGAGATATGTATGTTATTATTACAAACTGCAGAATTTCATATTAGTTAAACCTTTTTAAAGTGATACAGTAATAGGTTTTTTTTCTGAAGGCAAAATATGTGTGGCATACAGAAACACCTTTGGTGACGACATAAAATGCATCAATCCTGTTGTCCTGGTATAATGCATCATAGCAATTATTTAAGTGATTCAGAAGACTACCTTCCTCTCTAATACATAGAGATCTGTGTGATAAAAGGACACTAGAGTAATAAAAGTTATATATTACAATGGTGGTTATGAAACAATGTCTGAAATAAGAATAGTGAGTAATGTCAAATGGCATTTGCAAACTTAAACAGAGCCACATATCTTGTAGAAAACAGTCCAGTGTACATGCCAACAAACCAAACTAGGGTAAAGGATTAGTGAGAACCAAGGCAGTTTGATTACTGTCCAGCATGACTCAAACTTGAAAGAAACTTCAAAGAAAATTACTTGAGGATGTATTTTTAAAATATAGAACATTCTTTTCCTTTTTTAATAACAAATTACAGATTTTTAATTGAAAATATTATTGAAATTATTTTTGCAAAAAAACCCAACCCTCACCATTTGTTTGAATTCTTCAGTATTTACAAAGGAATTTTAATTTGTTTTGTTCACTTACATTGCTAAGTGAACCAGATGTATTTATTTATTTACTTTTCAAACAGAACCACAGAGAAAAATGTCTTAAGCACTTGTATAAGGAATGCTGGTATATCCTACCTAGAAGAACATAAAATGAACTGTTCAAAATTTCTATACAAGGAGACTGGAAAGTAAGAATAATATGGAAAACATTGTTTCTTTTAATAAATTATCTAAGAAAAATCTTGTAAAATTAAATATGCAAAGTGAAAAATACTTTCCGAAGTGAAGAGCAGGAATTTATTGACAGATATGTCAAACCAGTAATAATGTAATATAGTAGAAAAGGTATAAAAGACAAATAAATTACCTAACAGATACAAAGTATCAGCACATGCAATATAAATGTTTCATTAAAGTTAAATACCTTGTCAGCAGCTGGGTACTAAAGCTATGCTTTCCAGTTTAGCTGTATCTCTTTGGAAGATTTGGCTTACAAAAGAGAAAAACTCAGAAATTGCACTATGCAGATTAGGAACAACCAAAGAAAGAAATGTAAGTAGGGATTTCAGAAGCTCCTATTCCCACACAGGGACTTGCAGATGGGCCCTGCAGAGGGGTACAGGGGCTTTGACAGCCTGAAGGAGCCTTTTTATTTGCAGCAATCTCTTTTGAGCTGTTCTAGTTCATTAGTGTGCAAAGAAGCTCCACATACGATGTACTGGTACAATTTCGGGTGCTGTGCTGTGTTTTTTGCATGAAGCACGATGTTTTACACCAATAGACAGCTATATCTTACTCTCAAACTGTGACCCTGGTGCCAGTCAGTGTGACAGCTCTTAACTTCTGATGTCCTTGCCTTCAAAAGACAAATACCTTAATGCTGTGCTACATGCTGAGGTTACTGTGAATCCAGAGTCACTCAGAGCTGCCCAGTAAGACATGCAGAGATGTGGAATCTTTCCTAATTCCTGATCCCTTTGGGGGGGATAAAGTATGTCCTAGCTCTTGATTTCACAGCCTGCTTGAACATTCTCTGAAAAACATGTGTCTATACCTAAAGTAACTCTTAAAATTTTTTTTAAATGGGAAGGTGAGAAGGCTTCTTTTTTAGCTAGTAGCTCCAGGATCAGAGCTCTCACCCAGGAACTGGAGACTCCTCTGCCTGAAGGCACTCCCCAGCAGACTAGTCTGACTACAGTCACTGGCTGCTTAGAATTTAAAAAAACCCAAAAATACCTCTCATCCCTTACAGTTGAACTTTGCACTACATATTTAAAGATCTTTCAGACTGAAAAAAAGCAGCATGGAAAGCAACAGGACACTGTACGTCAGCAGAGTGGTCACTGGCTGTGGAGAGGGAAGAAGGTACTCCAAGCACCAGCCCATCCCTCCCCCCAGCTTCCCCCAGGCCAGCAGCACCAACCACCCCAAGTGGAAGCAGCTGTCCCAGTCTTTTATGGGCATCCTTACGAAGAGGCATGCTGCAAATACGCAGAACAGATTGAACCCTTCGGGCATTGTAAACTAATCTTTATCTAGGTTTAAGATCCAGATGGGGCTCAGCTCAAGATAGGTGTTCAGCTGATCAATGCTGTCAAAATCGAATGTTTTAAAAGCCTTGAGGCTTAGGGGCTTTTAATCACTAATAGTCACCTTTATAGGTTTGTTTGTTTGTTTGTTTGTTTTTAAACTAGCAAGGTTCAGGACTACTGGTTGCTGAGGTCCTGCGGTCCATTTTAGTACCTAAATCTTTTTGTGGAGGTGGGCTTTAGTGAGAAAAGGGTTATTTTGTTTCAGGCTCCAAATTAATCTTGTGTCTCCTGCTTCTGAAGGACATTTGCAACTCAGAGGTAAACTTCTAGAATAATCTAGTCCTAAAGTTTTGGAGAACCTAAAGGAATTCAGATAATTTGTCGTCTTTATTTACAAAGCTGTTTTGTTCATAGACCCATCTTTCCAGTATTGAATTTCTAGTGTTGTAGTATATCTATAGCAATCAGCTTAAGTGCTATTACTGTCTTATTCATTTTACATAGTCATATATTCACATATTACCACCTAATGAACTTTAGAACAGATCCATTTATAAAAGATGCATTTAAGGAATATTTAACTCATTCTCAGCCACCAGGAAAGCAAATATAATTCAGTTCATCCCTATCAGTAAATAGCAGGTTGAAGTCAGTGTTGTGCAGAACAAGCTATGCTTACCATCAGCAGCCCTTTATAAGCGTAGACAATTCCAAGCCAAATTGTCATGTGAGTGTTTTCACAGTGCTCCAAGATTGGTCGGATGGAAATATCTCTACCCGCAGGATCCGGCTGCAAAAATAAAAGGTGAAATATTTGCATTCAGATTTCATTCGTATTCACACCTCAGAGGTACTTGAATTTATTCTCAGTAGATTGAGGATGTGTCGAATACAGAGTGGAAAACTTTAAAGTAACTTGTGATGACTGCAGACCCCTGAACCTGCAAAGGAATACAGTGAAAAGCAAAGATCTGAGGAAACAACTGCATGATAGCTACCACCAAGTGAGGTCACCTTTACTGCAAACCAGAAAGAAAATGTCTGAAGTCACTCTGTCTTTAGCAGTGTAACTTTTATCAGCTTTAGGACATATATTTTTTCTATGAGGCAAAGAGCTTGAATGGACAGGCATGAAAATAAATGAGCTTAAAGTCATCCCTCCTTTCACCTGCAGTTCTTGTGTCACTGGCAAATGACTGATAAACAATATATGAAACACTGCTGTGTTTCAGGTGTTTTTTCATTGATAACCATGAGCTAAATCAAAGACCATTTACTATAGAAACTACATCAGTAGCTCAGAAAAGAGTATAAATGACAAATCTGTGATGAATTTTGTGATGAAAAATCTGGAAAATACATCTTTTAGAGCAAGTGAATGTCTATGCACAATACAATATTGCTGGAAGCTTTGTAGCTTTCCATTTATTTTAGAAAGGAGACTGTACAGAAATGCAAAATCAAGAGGATTTGCAGACTACTAGGACTGTTTGTATGAGATGGAAGTTACAATTAAGACTTAGAGGAACCTGCAAAAACACTCCCCCCAGTCTCCCTCACTTTTTTTTTTTTAACAAGGACAAAAACCCAGTTGACACACAGAGCAAATGGCTACTAGCTACTGTGCTGTCTAAAATTAGAATATATATTAGGGTATGGTCCAACTGTTTTTTAATGGTGCGCACTCTACAAGAACACAAGGTGCCTCTCATATGTGACTCTAAGAGATCCTGTTTTAGTTAGGTACTGCAGAATACTCCTATTGGCCATTCTGAGCTGTGTGTATGCACAGTCAGTTTTGCTTTACAGAATGCACTGAAATACTGAAAGCTATTTTTCCTTTCTACTGTGAAACATTGGATCTGAACTTCAGCTAAACTAAGATCAACCCAGACATAACTTTCTGGACTGGGTTTTCCCAGGACTTTGCAATTTTCCTTTCTGATGACTAACATATGTAAAATGTCTCATGCAGAAGAATATTGATTATTATATGAGCTAAGGAAAAAAAATCACATTTTCACAAACAGAAACATAGACATATATGTGGAAGAATTTTAAAGAGATTGAATGGCTTCCTAAAGCTTCTTTTTGCTGCCTCTGATACTAGTATGAATTTTGATATGGATTTCAGTGGTCACAGCATTAATCTGCAGCTCGGTTTCTTCCATTAGTCTTTTTTGTAATGTCCCTGGCCTTATACACTGTAAAAAGACAATGTAACAAAAAGGAGGTAGACACAGGGAGGAAAAAAATCCCAAGCTACTTCGTGCTATGCGCTGCACAGTCAAAGGATTAGCAACTTTGCAAATCCTGCAGTAGGCAAGACATTAACATTTAAAAACTCTTCTTATCCTAGACTTCTGTAGAAACCCTGAACAGAAGAATAAAGATATTTGAAAAAAGGAGTCCTAAAATAAAATAAGGTAAAAATCAAGAAGGCAATATTAACTCTCCCAGAGAGCTTATGACTCTGCCCTAACAGTTGCTGACGGCAAGCTAGCAACCACTAGCTGAAGAATTGAAGTGATTGCAAACATCAAGTGGCATCACAACGTTTAAGATGCTGCAGAGGTTTGTCTGGGGATCAGTTAAACCACCTCATTCTCTCTTATCAATCACAAAAGCCCAATGCTAAAAATTATGTGCACTGGAGGGAAAGTACCCTTTCATGTCAAAGTTACAACCTTCTTTGTTCAACGTTTTTGACTAGTAGCAAAGACCACATGACATATCATTCAAATATAGTTCTGAATGTGTAACTGATGTGCAAACAGGACTGTACTACAGAGATGTTATTTTTGAAATTCTGAACTACACATGAGCCTGCTCTAAAGATACCTTTTTTCCCATCATTGAGTTACAGTATTCCAACAGTTGCATCTCTCATTATCTGAAATTATGGAAATTACAAAAAAATATAAACTTGTGGTCATCAGAATGTCTTTTCTTCCCCCTGCACTCCACATTTGGAAGTGAACACGGGACTGCCTCTTCATTTCCCAAGTTCTACGCCCTTTCTGCCTTGTATTCTGTCTATTTAACTTTCAGACTTTTGTGAAACAAGAAAGTTTATAAATAACATAGACTTCCACTTGGTGCGATGGATGATGCCATGATTTTTTCCCCTTGTCCCTGGATTAAAACCTCCACCCAGACTAAAGCATTCTATCACTTTTAAACAACTATGAGCAATTGGAATTATTCCTTATTTCAAAGAATATAACTGAAAGGCAAACTCCTCCACTCTCAGTGGCAGATTATCTTTTTATTTACATTATATGGTTATTCTCTAATGGGAATTTGCTTCAAAATTGGAAAGCATATGTCCATTCATTACTCTAAATGGAGAGACCTGGGCAGAAAAATGATGAAATGGAAAACATGACTTCTTTTCAAATGCTTTTAGAGAGAAAGAAGTTGCACCATTTCCTTAGTAGGAAGATTGCCAGATTTTATAAGGCAATGATAGTTTAAAAATATGTTAATTAAATAAAACTGTGTATTTAGATTTTCTGTGTGAGATAAGAAATCCTTATGAAGTGCTCTAGAGGGTGCAGGAAAAGAGAGAATACTGATTGCAGCATCAGCCAAAGCGTACATGGGGCAGTACTTCTTTCAAAGCACTATCCAGATCTGCAAGGTGGTAGTATCTTCAACAAAAATTTGCTGAATACTGGTGCATGTGGAGTTAAGCGCTGGCAGGTAGCAGTAATTCTACAGTGAACTGATTTTGCTGATTACTTATCACTACTGAGAA